TTCAACATTTTTGTTTCTAAAGATGATTTCGATTGTGAAAATATTCGAGATACAACTGAAGTTATTGGATATGCACCACGATTACATGATAAACCGATATAATCATCCATATCAATATAATGAACAAGTACACCAGCTATTTGAGAATTAATAATAAAATTCGATTTATATTCAACTGTTCCATTAATAAAAATATCATTTTTTAATTTCAATGTTTGTATATCATCATAGATGATTAAACTATTTTTCTTATGTGCGAGAACTAAAAAAGTTTTATTATCGAAAAATCTTCTATAATTTTCTTGTTTAATTAAATCACAAATCTAAATTAAAAAATAAATTCATTTTTTTAAAAAACGTTTCAAATTAAAAATTTAACTTCATAAGCAGCAAGTATTCCTTTTCTATGTGTAATACGCCCTGGAAAACCTTGCCCTAATATTCGATCATTAATATTATAATTTATATTATTTTCTAATAAAAATGATAAACCATATGTTGGAATACTCATAATTAATTTATCTTTTGATATACCATATGAAAGACTTTGAGCAAGAATTGAATTCTATATTTAAATAAAATAAAGTAGATTTTTTTAAAATTAAAATAAAAAAAAAAACCATGGAAAAATGTGTTAAATTATATTGTAAATTGTCTTGATTAATATAATAAAGACCATTCCATGGTTTTATTTGTTGAAAATTTTCTGTTGATTTTTCATCAAATGGAAGAACAATAATATAATCAACTAGACTAATATTTATATAAAAAAAGAAAAACATAATATTATTGAAAATTTTCATTTCTATTTTAACAAACTTATTTAATTGAATTAAATTGAAATATTTATTAGGTTGAATTTGAAATGATATTGTTAATAGACATTTATTCGGTAATTTTGATCTTATTATCTAAAAGAATAATAATAAATATTAATTTATATAATTTACTTTTAAATAATAAATATACCCTAACTTTTTCGATAATATCATTTGAAAATATTTTTAAATTAATATTAAAACTATAAAATTGTTTATTTTTTAAATTATTTATTAATTAATCAATAATTAAAAAATCGTTCAAATTTATTGTAAGAATTATTTTAAATAGAGAATATATTGATTTCAATGTTAACAAAAGAGAATTATTATAATCAATTAATAAATAAATACAAAGATCTAATTTTATTTTATTCAATGTAAAACGTCTTGAACCATAATATGTTTCAGCATTTGAACTTACAGAACAAAATAAAACTTTTTTAGAAGATTTTTCTTTTAAATCACTTAATGAATCAATATTCTGTCCAACTAAAATTTCAATAGAAAAAATTTTTTTTTATTAATTTTAATTAAAAATTATATCTCATACAAGATTGTTTATTAATATTGAAATTTAAATCATAAGCAATTGTATTTAATAATGGATAAAAACCTTTTCCACATATACCATAAATATCATCCATATCTAACCATGATAATGTTATACCAGATAAATCTCTCAATTTAACAAAACGAACCTTTTAACAAAAAAAAAAAAAACAAAGGAAACAAATATTTTATTTAATAAAAACAATACTTAGACAAGAGATATCATATGTATCATATATTGTATTATCTTATAATTAATTAAATAGAATTTTAATCAAATGAAATGATAAGATGAAAAATGTTTTATTAAATAAAAGATTCTATTAGATTTTGATAATAAACCTTATATAAAGTAATCATAAGTTCGATCAATTTGAAAAATTCTTTTATTACTATTAAATAAATATTTGATGAATAACATTTAATACAGTAGAATATTTTTATTCGAGTTTTATTATTGAAAGCAAATATTAATAATTTTGAAATTTTTTCCTAGTTAATTTCATATTGACAAGTTATCAAATATTTTCGATCTAGGAAAAATTCAATGACAACAACGATGAATCAATTTTGTGAACTCTATTAATTGTCTTAGAAATTCAAAGTAACTTTCGGATCATTATCTTTTTTCCATTTTCTATACACTTGTATATATGACACAATCATTTGATCATACTCAGTGATCTGATTAAAAGAGACGATATGACCGATCTGTTGACTAGAGAAGCACTTCTAAAGATTGACCATTGACATGATCTTATTTTTTTTTCTATCAAATTTATAATAAAACCTTTCACAAAATTTCTTATCAATGGTTATCTCACAGCGAAAGGATTAATTCAATTTAGTTCATCGTTTATGTGATGCTAATCGATGAACAATGGTTTTGACTAGATCGAGTTGAATTAATCAAGTTTATTGACTAATTCCACCAATTGAGCCAATAATTGATCATCATCACAGTTCCACGGTT